CTCAAGAGTCTAAAGGACAGTAAATTGGCCCTTAGTTTAGAAAGTTTGGAGATCTCTTCTCTAAAGCTGGAAATTACTGTTGTAGACACACCTACTCCAGTGATCACTACTCGCTTATGGGTCCTGTGTTGAGCAGCTGCCCCGATGTCTTGTGAACACAGGAGGTCAGCCGCTCATCATGGATGTCATTCAGAGAACTCTCCAGCTTGTCCAATTAGAGAACATTTTGCATTCATTTAGAAAATGCAAAGCATTCTCTGAATGGATCCCTTGCTTCCTGTGTTCACAATGCACCATGCCGGCCACTCAGCACAAGGCCCATAAAGATAATGGAGATCAATGGTTTAGTGGTCTCTACTTCCATGATTTCCAGGTTCGAGGGGCATCAGCCAGGCATAGTAATGTATAGTTACACAGCTCCAAGCTGGATCAAGATAACTATGCATAAAATATCCATATCTGGAATGCCTCGAAGGAGCTAATCAAATCTCATCTTTTTATTGACTCCCAGGATGCAACATTCACCCTTCTCCTCTCCGCAGGTGAGTGCACACAATGCTCCTAATACACACCTTCCCTGTGTCCTTCCTGTCCAGGCATGCGGACCCCCACATTATAGTCTGGGATATGCAGCTTTATAGCTATGCACACACTACATGGCCACACCAAATGTACATAGCCTGGAAACATTTATTTATTTATTACAGGTACTTCTATAGCGCCATCAATTTACACAGTGCCAGGGGCAGACTGACCATTTGGAAACTCGGGCACTGCCCGAGGGCCTGGGGTCAGTAGGGGGCCCCATGAGATGCCCCTGGTACCTTTTTATAGGCTTTTTTGAGTTTGGGCAAGGACACAGGGGCCCCATTATCCCCTATTGCCCGGGGGCCTCATGAGTTGTCAGTCCGCCCCTGCACAGCGCTTTACATATATATTGTACATTCACATCAGTCCCTAACCCTCAAGGGGTGTACAATCTAAGGTCCCTAATAATTTAGTTTGGGGGAGTTATTGTACTCTAATGGGCTCTTTATGATGCCAGCGCAGCCAATCACTCCCTTCTGATGGCCCTGTATTTAATGCCTTAGGACACCTATGATAATATTATTTATTTATTTCAGGTACTTATATAGCGCCGTCAATTTACGCAGCACTTTACATATATATTGTACATTCACATCAGTCCCTAACCCTCAAGGGGTGTACAATCTAAGGTCCCTAACTCACATTCATACATACACATACTAGGACTGATTTAGACAGGATCCAATTAACCTACCAGCATGTCTTTGGAGGGTGGGAGGAAACCGGAGTACCCAGAGGAAACCCATGCAGGCACAGGGAGAACATGCAAACTCCAGGCAGGTGGTGCTGTGGTTGGGATTCGAACCAGCGACCCTAGTACTGCCAGGCGGAAGTGCTAACCATTTAAGCCACTATGCTTTTTTTTTTTTAATTGGCTCAGAAACACTGGAACACAGGGGCGGACTGACAACTCATGGGGCCCCCGGGCAATAGGGGATCATGGGGCCCCTGTGTCCTTGCCCACAATCAAACCACAGTCCAAAAAAGCCTATGAAAAAGGTACCAGGGGCATCTCATGGGGTCCCCTACTGACCCAGTGCCGAGTTCCCAAATGTTCAGTCCGCCCCTGCTAGAACAGAGTAATTTTTTTTTCTTTTTTTAAAGACTATGCATATGCTGATTGGAATCAATATTGGCTTTAATAACTGCAGAGGTTTATTTTAAAGTAGCAAAGGTAAACCAACCATTTACAAATTCATTGACAGGTACACATGACTTGCAGGTAGCTTCCTTCTGCCCTGCATTAAACCAGCTTCAACAGCGATTTGCATCCCCATAGACTTGTAAGCAAAACTCCATGGAAGTGAACAAAAGCCTTATGACAGGTCCAGACATAAAATTCAATTTTAGATAAAGCAGGAAAAGGTAGGAACCGATCAGGAGTTATTGTTGTCTTGCCTTTGCTGGGGAGATTCTCCCTCATTGGCTGTCCAGGTGACACTGTTGTCACCCAAAGTCAGATAAAATCTTCAGCAGGGACACAGATCGTAATAACACCCTGATGGGGTTTCTAGTCATCAGCTACCCTCTTTAAAACAGAGGTTTTGTGCTGCAATTGTGTTCCATTTGGAAATTTCTCTTCACTTCCTGTTCTGGAGACATATTATTCTTGGGACAGGAAGTGAAGAAACATTTTCCGCACCTAGTGATAAAAACCTTTGCCACTTAAGCTGGTTCTGGCCAGCTCCGTGGATTGCTTTAAAAAAGTCCTGGATTCTTTCCAAGATACACAGAATATAACTGGATACTAACATTTATAGGTAACGTTGATCCAGGGAATATCCGATTGCCTCTCGGGGGATCAGGAAGGAATTTTTTCCCTGCAGGAGCAAATTGGATCGTGCTTTGCTGTTTTTTTTTTGCCTTCCTCTGGATCAACTGTGGGTGTAGGATTATAACTTTTTTTTTTTGATGGTTGAACTGGATGGACTTTTGTCTTTTTCAGCCAGACTAACTATGTAAATCAGTCAAAAAACTGGCAAACCACAGAAATCTTGTATCCGCTCAGGTCCCCTAAGCCTCGGACACTTCTGGCACAGGTCAACCCCAATTTTCAGATAAATTGAATCAAGGCTGGTTCAGCAGGGACTAATCAAGATTTGATCCATCTATCAGCAGACTGGTTGGACCCAAATCGATCCATCGAATGACCTCAGTACAAGCAGCCTGTCAGATTTGTTTGCATGAGATCACTGATGGCAACCATAGCCACTAGCAGTGATCATTGTGTTCTGCTGGCAGGGAAGGCTCAATGCTAGCAGAACACAATAGTACTGCAGGAGGGGTTCACATTCAGGGTTGATGGGGGGAATTGAGCAATTTCCTTATCTTCCACCCGTGCTTAAAGTGATTCTAGAAAGTTTATTTTTTATTTATATTTTTAATGAAAAAAATAAAATGTGTCTATCCTTTCCTGCTGTGTGTAGTGGTTTTGCACACAGCAGCCCGGATTCTACTCTTCTTGGGTCCCCTGCAGGCTCTCCTGGCCCCTCCCTCCTGTCGGGTGCCCCCACAGCAAGCAGCTTGCTATGGGGGTGCCCGCTGCTCCGTGCATCCCTTCACACATGGAGCCGCAGCTTGGCTCCGCCCCTCTTCTCATTGGCTCACTGGCTGTGATTGACAGCAGTGGGAGCCAATGGCTAATGAGAAGAGGGAGTCCCAGGATAGCCAAGATTCCAGTGCACATCGCTGGATCGAGAGGGGGCTTAGGTGAGTATTAGGGGGGGCTGCTGCACACAGGTTTTTTTACTTTCATGTATAGAATGCATGATGGTAAAAAACCTTGACCCTTTACAACCACTTTACGCTGGCCATAGATGGTTTGAATCTCAGCCAGTTCAGCAGGGACCGGTCTGAAATTCAAATCAGTATGGACAAGGCTGATTGTACCCAAGCTGACTGACTAATCAACTTGTGGGTACAAGCAGTATGGCAGATTTTTATGTGACTATTGCCAGCGGCTATACCCATTAGCAACATTCACTGTTCTCCCGGTAGGGATGGCTCCCTGTCCCTCCCCCCGCCAGAACACAATAACTGCGCAGGAGGGAATCCTCCAATAACACTGACTGTGTTGATGGGGGAATCAAGCGACCATCTATGACCAGCTTTACGTTAGCAATACTTATTAACCAAATCCCCAGCCCTAAAGCCGGCCTTAGATGATGCAATTTTTGCTCGGTTCCCCGCCATGGAGCTGTTGTGTTCTCCTGGTGGGGAGGGAGCCGTCCCTGTCAGGAGAACACAGTGATTATTGCTAGCAACTACAGCCGCTGGCAATAATCGCATGAAAATCAAACACTTTGGTAACTGAAAAATCCGACAGGCAGGCTGGTTGTATTCAAGTCGTACAACAAATGATTTGGGTACAGTCAGTCTGCCCATAGATGGTTTGAATCTCAGCCTGTCCCTGCTTAACTGGCAAAGATTTGAGCCATCTATGGCTCGCTCGTAGCCATAATTCCATTAGTGATTTTTCTTATCGCACAGATAAGAACACAGAAAATACTGGTATTTAAAAGAGAAGTATGGCCAAAGCTTTTTTTTTTTTCTAGTCATACTGCTCTTCTGGATCACAGGAGTGCAATTACTCTAGCTCTTCTGTGAACCAGAATCAGCTGATAGCGGGCTAAGGCAGGCCATAGATGGTGCGAATTTCTTTCCTGCAACCTGTGTTGACAGGGGAATCCCTCCCACCGAGCCACTGTGTTCCCTCAGCAAGGGGGGTGTGGGAAGCCATCCCTGACGGGAGCAGACAGCGATTACTGCTAGCGGCTATAACAGCTGCTAGCGATAATCGTATGTAAAATCCGGCAGGCTGGTTGTGCTCAACTTGATCAAATCGATCAACTTTGGTACATTCAGCCTGCCCATTCATGGTACAAATCTCGGCTGGTCCCTGCCTAACTGGCCACGATTCGAACAGTCTATGGCCTGTTTAAAGCTCACTGACATCACAGAACGCTCCAGACTCTGGACTATTGTCGGGATCCACCTGGATACCTGACTGGCACCTGGCACAGCCTCTGAGCACGCTGCTAAATACCTGAGCTGGCCACTGCACAGACCGATGCTCCTGTGAGTGCTGGAGGGACAGAGCGGAGACTGACAGTCAACAGCTCTCTGCTCACTGAAGACTGAGAACTGAGCGATCAGCAGTCATGTGATCGCTCAGTTCCCAGGCTTACAGCCAGCAGGGGACCAATGCTGGTACAGGGAGGGGAGTATGCATGTTTGTTTTTATACTATTTCCACACTTCTCCCTTAATAGAACAAATCAAACCCACACTGAAATACATCAGCAATATCATCCTTTCTTTTCAGCACTGCCCTGTGTATGCCATTGGCTCTAGTATATGCCTGCAATATTTGTCTTGGTTTCTGACCTGTGTGATGATACCAGATTCAGACTATCAGAAGTCTTTAGCAGTTCGCTCCATCTCCTGAACACACTGCAGCCTGGCCTTCTTACATCGCTCCTCATCTGAGTATTCATGCTTGCGTTTTGGAGAGTCAGCAGCACACAGGGACAATTTGGGAGCTGCCAAGAGAATACATAGAAAAGAAGGAACATCATTAGATGACACACATTCAATATAAAAGCTACTTTGCACTATCCTAACCAGGGGCGGACTGACAACTCATGGGGCCCCCGGGCAATAGGGGATCATGGGGCCCCTGTGTCCTTGCCCAAACTAAAAAAACCTATGAAAAAGGTACCAGGGTCATCTCATGGGGCCCCCTACTGACCCCGGGCCCTTTTTCCAAATGGTCAGTCCGCTCCTGATCCTAACAGTACTCTGTCCTCTTACTGACATAAAACAAAAAAACAGATTTCCATCTCAACGCTGTGTTACTTATCATGATGCTCTGGGCATGTGCAGGATCTCCGACGGATGAAGGATAGATCACTATAGTGCCAAACATCCAGCAAGTGCACAGCCAAGATGGCAATACAAAGAGCAAAAAAAGAGCTACAGCACTGAGGAGTCACGATTCATTTCACTTACTGGATGTAATCAGTCTTTTTTTTTTTTTTTTTTTTTTCTGACTGGTTCTCTTTAAAATGGAGCCATTAATAAATATTAAAGCCCAAAAATTCACCCTTGCAGTGGTGCCCCCATCACTTCTGATATGATCAACAGGTTTTTTTTTTTTTTGCACATATCAAATTATTATAACAAAACACTTTCAATGGCATATTTAAAGTATAATTAAGTAAACCTTTTTTTTTTAATTTTGGATAGAGTGGAGGGGAATTAGAACCCTGTCATGTTTTTATTGCCGTCTGTGCCATCCCCCCCCCCACTAGGGAGATTCATCCTCTCTGTTTATCCAGGTGACTACCATCACTGAAAGTGAGACGAACACAAAAATCTAAAATTTTGGGTAGTCATCAGATCAGGAATAAAGGGGGATTATTCCGCTGGGGATGCTAGCTTTGGTGACCCCGAGGACAACCAGACATTCCCTCATCGTGAAGTGATTTCCTCTCACTTCCTGTTTTGGCTATAGGGCAGGAAGTGAAAGGAAAATTTCCAAAATGGCAATAGATGGCAACAATAAAACTGAAAGGGATTATAACCCTCCCTTGCTCTATCCAAAATGGGGGGGGGGGGGGGGGGGGGGAAAAAAAAAAAAGTTTTGCATAGATTTCTACTTTATTGTACCAAAATAGAGCAAATAGTTCATTGTTATAGGCTAAAATAAATATTGTAAAAATGAAAAAAAGAAAGGATTAAGGATCTTAACATTCTTTCCATTGATATTTCTGCATCTGGTCAGCTAATGTTATGGTGCAACCAAAATCACCATTAAATTAAATTGGCCAGGTACTAGTTTTAGTGGACACTGCAAAACGCAAGACACATGGGTTACAATCTGACAAATGTCAGTTCCCACTTGTCCAGGCACTCACCCTGCAGAGAACCATAGCTCTCCACTTAATCCAAACCCTCCCCCGAGCAGAAAAGCCCAGCCCAGTATTCTTGGTTGTCCTAATTCACAGAAGACTAAGGAACCATGAATCTGCAAGCATATCCTTGAACATACAATACAGGTTTTTTTTATCAATGGTTTTCTGATTGGATCCAGAAGTACAGAGACACCTGGAATGAGCAAAACTGACCTCTTTCTTTTCCAAAAATTGTAGGAAAACATCCTGTGCTGTACTGCCACCTAGTGGATAGCGAACAGACTGCATCTAGGTGGTGTGTAGAGAAAACCCCCCCCCAAAAAAACCCAAAACACTGTCTGGACTCCAAAAATTGTACGCCGTAAGAGCCCAACAAGTAACTCTCAGATCCCAGGTGCATCATAACAAAAGATGTGCAAAGACTGTTTTTCTTTAGAAAGCAGCTTAGGCCTAAGTAGGTGAAAGTGGCAGCTCAGGCTGGAGAACAGTGCGTCGCTCTGCAGCTCCTCCATTCACAAAATGTTTTGTAATCTTTTCCAAGAATATAAACAGGCAGCAGCAGGACACGCATCATTAGACATACCTTATTCGTACCCAGCTATTGCCCCAGTAAAGTGTTTTGCCAACAATTCAACTTTAACCCTTCTCTACTTTATAAAAAAAAAATGCTCCATCAATGCTGGGTATGGAGGAAGTTCCAATGTACTCAGAGAGCTGTGGTACCCATGACTACCTGAATGCAATGGTGCTTCTGAACAGTAACTACATCTGATGAGCTATGATCACTGTTTGTCTAGTAATTTTTCACCCAGCTCAATTTTTTTTTTTTTTTTTTTTTTTTAAAACAACTTGTCAAGCCAGGTGGTGAGTGCTTGCAGGGCCACCCATTGCTTGAATTTCAGGTAATTCAGTTATCTATGCCCAGCTTTAATTTGTGAGCAAAGTCGCCAGTCCTGGATACACTAAATCCCTATATAGTGGGATCAGGATCTCCTTCCTGCAATGTCTATCCACCTTAGAATTGGGCCTATGTATTGAATATCCAAATCATGTGCCATCAAAAATCCTATTTTTTTTTTTATTTCCCTTGCACATGATTGGATATTCCAAGTGAACAAAGGTTCACGTTATTTACCAACGGGGCGGACTGACCATTTGGAAACTCGGGCACTGCCCGAGGGCCCAGGGTCAGTAGGGGGCCCCATGAGATGCCCTTGGTACCTTTTTCATAGGCTTTTTGAGTTTGGGCAAAGGGCAAGGACTCAGGGGCCCCATGATCCCCTATTGACCGGGGGCCCCATGAGTTGTCAGTCGGCCCCTGTTTACCAACATTCACCTTCCTAGGTTAATAGCCTCCGACCCTTCAGTTATTCCACCCCAATATACAGTATATAGCAATACACATTACATACACACACATTTCACATAAATCTTTAAAATCTATACACACCCACATATAAAATGTATACAAAAGAAGTCTATATAGTATAAGACACACACACACACAGACACACTATATATCATATACAATGAACAAGCATGGTAAGTACCTTTTTTAAAGGAGAATTACAGCCAAAGCTCTTTCGGCTGTACTTTTCCTGTGGATCACAAGAGTGCAGTTCTTTCTGCACTCCTGTGACCTGTTTTCAGCCAACAGCCGGTCCAGGCTAGGGAAAGATCCCAACTTTAAAGTCAGGATCCACCCCAGAGTCTGGAGCAGTACCTGGCTCAGCCAATCAGTGAGCCACTGAGAACCTGAGCCAGCCGCTCCCTCCCTCTCCACAGCCCAGCGCTCCAGTGGGCAGAGCAGACAACAGTCAGTGGCGTCCCAAGCCAAGTGACACCTATCCCATGGGGTGACACCGGACCCGCTCCACGAAAAGGTAAGTCGTAAAGCAAGCCAACGATCCCTATAGGAAGGATCGGATCTGCGGATTGAGCATAATGGATTGGAGTTTGATCCATTATGCTCCCCAATCCGCAGATTCGATCCATCCTGCGGGGATTGTTGGTTTTCTTTACAACTTACCTTTTCGTGGAGCGGGATCGGTGTCACCCCGTATAGGTTGCATGCCGATCCATTCTGCAGGGATCGTTGGAGGGGGTGTCACCAAGTGTTATCGCACCGGGTGACACCAACCCTAGGGACGCCCCTGCTAACAGTCACCGCTCTCTGCTCAGAACGGCTGTGAGAACTCAGCGATCAGCGGTCATATGATCACTAAGTTCTCACACTATGAGCCCGTGGGGGACAGATAATGCATCGGACTGGTGCTGCATCCACCTAGGTAAGTATGTTTAAATAACTATTCCCATACTTCTCTTTTTAGAAACAAAAATGACTCAAAATATAAAAATTCAAGCATTTGATGTAACCCAAGCCATTCAGATGACATTTCTCTTCTATTCTCCCCAGGGCCTGTGATGGATCAATGACATGCAGTAACAGATCAGCTCTAATGATATCATGTGTTTGTATTATGTGTCTTGAATACGCAGTGAGCTGAACAGCCCTCTGTTCTATCAGATCTATTTTTAGGATCGGGACAGAGATCGAACAACTAGATAAAAATGTGCGTTGTGTACTGAAACCTCTGTGACCTTCCAAGAAACATACATAGTAATTATATTATGCCAACGTCTGAGAATGGATAGAATGAAGAGCACAATTCTATTCAATGATCTTTATAATGAGCAAACAGAAAAATGTGTGATATGCAGCCAATTGAAACACCAAAATGCCTACAGAAAGCTGAAATCTGGTTGCTGTATGATACTGCTGTAGCAAAAGAACACAGCAGAAGGGCGCAGAATTCGTAAAATCAATAAGGTGTCACTTTAATTAAAAAGAGCACGCTTACAATTGAGATGCTTCACTCCAACCAGAGAGGCAACAGAAGGAAAGGGCTGTGCTAAGATGATGTACCAGTAAACCAGTAGCGGTGTTCTGCCAAATCCAGTGGAGCACCCATTGGCAACGTCTACAGCCGCAACTAGTACAACACACTGATGGGAGGCAGAGCAACGTCACAGGATGGGCGAGACGCTACGCGTTTTAGGGGCACCATTCCTTTTTTAAGCAAGTCCAAAAGGTGAAAATCTGGCTTTAAGCATGGTGGCCTGGAACTAGTGCAACTTTGGGATGGCACATCTGGTACCACACAGCGTGGCAGCTTTACCTTAGGTTGGGTGGGCCACTAGGTATTTTAGGGGCACCATTCCTTTTTTAAGCAAGTCCAAAAGGTGAAAATCTGGCTTTAAGCATGGTGGCCTGGAACTAGTGCAACTTTGGGATGGTACATCTGGTACCACACACCGTGGCAGCTTTACCTGTTCACTGGTTCTTCATCTTGGCACCAGTAAACCAGTAGCGGTGTTGTGCCAAATCCAGTGGAGGACCCATTGGCAACGTCTACAGCCACAACTAGTACAGCACACTGATGGGAGGCAGAGCAACATCACAGGATGGGCGAGACACTACGCGTTTTAGGGGCACCATTCCTTTTTTAAGCAAGTCCAAAAGGTGAAAAATCTGGCTTTAAGCATGGTGGCCTGGAAATAGTGCAACTTTGGGATGGCATATCTGGTACCACACACCGTGGCAGCTTTACCTGTTCACTGGTTCT